GTAAATTCCTTTCTATCAAATAATTAAGTCTATTCTGCTTTATCAGCTCATTAAATCAGATGACCATGCGAGCTTTGAACCTCAAGAACATTCCCACCATAATTCCACAGAGAGGTATTCTACCCTTGTACTGATGAAACCAAGGTCCAGAATGATGTACTGACAAAACTGAGGTTCAGAATGATGTGCGCTGTATCCTAGGTAACTTCTTCCCAAAGCAAAGCTTAGGGTGCTTCTCACACAGTTTTTGTGCCCTCTGCACTACTTGGGCTGCTGGAGAACACTTCTGGAGAATTTTCTGGGGCATTTGGATGGCTTATAGGAAAATGGAACAGCTTATTAATTTAGTAGAGTCCTGGGAGAGCCAGGACATAAAATCCCTCGTCTCCACACGTCCCAATCTTGCAGATTATACTGAAGCCTTGATAAACAATTTAGAACGGCCTGGGTATGACATGGGCTTCCTCTTGGCTATTTGTACGACTTCACATTGAATGAAAGGAAATCACTTAAGCCCTCAAAACACTGTCTGGCAGGAGGTGAAATGCCTTGGCTTCCTGCCCCCATCTCTCCCACACCCGCAGCTGGGACCATTTGGCCCCTGCTTTGCTGCCAGGCCTGAGACCCTCCCTGTCCTCCGTCAGTGTGAATTCAGAATTCCTGCCTCCAGGCCAGACTCCAGAATGAGAGCCCTTCTTGCTAGTTAAACAGTCCGGCTTCCCAACGAAAGAGGTACAAAATGAACAGAATGCGCATCTCGTTTCAGTCATTTGCAGGGGAGTCCTGTGTGCTGGGGACCGTATCTTTAGATTTCATTGAATCGGGGATTACCAGACACTTACACAGAAACAACAAAGTGAAATGTGCGCACAGGAGTTCTCTGCAGGAACAGTAAGGGAATCTGCCGCCTTAGGCACATGTATCTGGGACTGACAAATTGGACTGCAATCAAACCCACCAGTTCAATGCCGTTTTTAAAATGCCTTCATTCTTCAGGTAATGTACATACGTAATTGAGGCTGGTCAGCTCTGTTTCATAACACCATCTTAGTTTTCTTTTTTCTTCAAGGCAAATGCATTTTTTCAAGCAAAAAGAAAGCTATATTAAACATGTAGACATATGTTCTGCTCCATTTTTCTTTAAACATGGCCTTCTCTTTATATAATCTTTAGCTTATTCACCTTTAATAATAACTCAATATATTCCACTTTCCTCATATATGCAAAAGCAGAGTGCAAGTGTGCTGATAATTGGCAATTCATTCTTATCCTTGGTGTGGGGGACAATAGGGTGTGGAGGGGACTATGGCTGACTGGCGAGTGTTGCCATAACTGAAAGCATTGGTCACTCTTCAGTGCCAATCACTGATGGCATGGACATAGTAAATGTTCAGGGATTCCAAAGTTCGCAGGGAACACAGTAGTTTCACCAGCCTTCAAGGTCTCCGTACTCCAGTACCACCTGGCCTGCTGGTTCCCTCTCCAGTCCAACTGAGTTCTTATCCATTTACTACTTGGGCTGAGTACTGCTTTCCCCTCCCTCTTGATTCCAAATCTTTTTTTTTTTTTTTGAGAGGTTTTTGCTATAGGGCGTGTGTGCTCACTAGAAAGACAGCTAGAGACAGAGAGATAGAAAGTGAGAAATCACCTCCCAGGGGGATGGTCATGCCGCAATCCCTTCTCCTCCATTCTCCTCTCGGGATCTTGGGCACACATGAACATGTGCCTGGCATGAGTTTAAGTCACCGGGTCGGGGACTTGAACTATGGTTGACTACATGAGAGTCCAGTGACATAGCCATTATGCCAACTGCTGGTCCTGATTCCAAACCTTCCCTGAGGTCCCAGAGCCTGGATCAAATCTTAAACCCACCTTGAAACATTCCCTCCCTTCTCCAAGCCATGTTTATTTCTTCCCTCCCTTCGTCCATGAATTTTTTCCTTAATTCATGCCAGAGAGTGCAGAGAGAGAAAAGCACCACCCAACATGGTCTCGTCACACCATGGTCCCTTCCCCTGCTCAGGAGGCTCTCGAGCATGTACACTGTGTTTCATGTTGAAGCGGCTAGGACCTGAACCTGTGGCCAGCCATGTAGCTTCCAGTACTACAGACAAGCAGGCTACTGACTGCCACTGAGGCTGGGCCAGATTTCTCCCTTTTCTGAAAACATTTGCATTAATCCCAGTCATGAGCCCCCACATTTGCACAGCATTCAATGATGGACAGAGCCCTGAAGTGTGCAAGTTATCTCAGCCAGAACAGCCACCTGCCCAGGTCAGGATCGCTGAGTCCATTATAAAGATGAAAAATGTAAAACTCAGGCCAAAGGCAGCATCCGCCCATCTCGCTCTGCAGCCAGGGCCAGCACTGGACTGGAACGCAGGCTCTTGCTTCCCAGACCAGCATGGCCTCCTCTGAGCCCTCACTGCTGCGGCTGGGTTAACCCTTTCACGCCGGAATGCTCTGTGTCTCCAGTGCAACTTTGCTTTTGGGGGCAAGGGAGTGGGTCTAACCCTCTTGCTTACTACAGACAATATGGCTGAGTATAAAGAATGTGGGTGTTGACACCTGCCACCCACTAACCTGGGCACTTTTTCTTTCTTTCTTTTCTTTTTTTTAAATTTTGCTATTTTTGCTAGAGGGAACATACACCAGAGACAGAGAGTGGGAGGGGAGAAAGCATCCCCTATGAGGAATGGTCAGGTCACAATTCCCTCTCCTCCATCTCTCCCTCCTTTCAGAATTTGGGGCATTCACGCACACATGCCTGGCATGTCTCTCCAACCTCTGGGCCTGGGACTTAAACCACGAGGCCAGCTATGTGAGATACCACTACTTTAACTACTAGGCCACAGAACGGGTCCTTGGGTATGGTTTTTGTTTTTGAGAGATTTTTGATATAGGGCAGGTGCACTTGCCAGAATGACAGAGAAAGACAGACAGTGAGAAATCACCCTGCAGGGGATGGCCATGCTGCAATCCCTTCTCCATTCTCTTCTTGGGATTTTAGGTGCACATGCACATGTACCTGGGGTGATTTTCAAGCTGCTGGGTCTGGGACTTGAACCGTGGTTACCCATGTGGGAGTCCATTATCTGAACCACTATGTTACCTGCTGGTCCCCCTTGGGTATGTTTTAACCTCAGCTCTCTTATGGGGATCATTACAGTACCCTTTTCCCAGGGCTGTAGTGGGGTAAAGCCTTTAGCTCAGGACCTGGGCTATAACCTGCACCCAGTAAATATAGCTGCCATTTCCATCCTAGTGCCATCCCCTCTGCAGGGTTAACTCAAATGACCTTTTCATGTGACATGTGGTGACCTGTCCTGTAGAAAGTGGTACTAAAAACCCAGGAGCTGACCACAGCCCATGGTGGCTACTTGGTGCATCAGGGAGAGAGGCTCCTGGCACTGGTCTGGCTCTGTAACTGTCCAGATCCGTGCCAACTTTGCTGGTGCCTCTTCTTGCTGAAAGATCTCACTCTTGTGCCTAGTGGCAATCTATCATACAAGCCACGGTTGAAGAGTTTACCCAGTGCCCTGTGCTAAACTCCATGTAGGTGGTAGTCTGCCTTGCATCCTCGCCTCCCACAGAGGGCTGTTTGAGGCTGAGACTGGTTCCTCTCCCCCACCGCTCACCACAGGGCCTGGTGTGGTGTCCCGCCTAAGACTGCGTTCCTTCCTTCACCCGGTGTTTAAGGCATCTCTGACTACCTGTTTCAGGCAGAGAAGAATCAAAGGTAAACACGTCCTCCTGGAGCTTACGTTCTGGTGAAGGAGGTAGCCAAGGTACCGAGAGGTACACTGGAATACTAGACACGTTAATATACACAGAAATGCCTCCCGAGCCTCGGTCTCCTCATCTGTCATACAAGGAAATCCTAGCGATTCCGGCCTCACTGGGCTGTTGCGAGAACTCCATCGGCCACCCGACCGGTGGAAGGGTAGTGCTTGTCCTGTGGGCAAGGCAGCCCTAGCAGGGATGGGTTAGAGGGCGGGGGAGCCGCGTCCGGCTTGGCCAGACCAGCGAGGGCGCCGGGCTTTCCTCGAAGGTTACATAAGGC